ATTAATGTTTTATTTAGCAGCCTAACATCATCATCAGTGGCGTCAATTGTACAAATACGATCATTGTGTTCAGATTGTTCGAATTGTAGTGCGCTAATATATCACATAGTTCTGATAATCTTCGTCTTCTTATTACACTATCAAATTCATATATCTGTGTAGAGGTAAACAAGAATTACTTTCTTTTGTGGACTGTTGGTTTCTTTTTTATTGTAACGCAATATTTTTAATCAGAAACTATATAAATATATTCATCTCAATGTAAATAATATGAAAATATGGTTGAATACAGAGTTATCTAACATCGAAAGTAAATTGTAATTCCATCACAATGCGCTTACTTTTAATACAGATTTATTTTGAATAAGTTAAGTGGTCTCGTAATTAACTAATGAACAGCTTAATTCATTTTTGTATTAGTTATTTAAATCTTCCCATTAATGTTTAAAACTATAATTGATTAATCCCTTATTGTCATAATGTGCATTCTGTGCAAAGTGCTTCAATAATGAAATTTCAAAAGTTCCATTTGTGTTTAAAAAAAAGAACAATAGGTCTTTACCTTAAACGTATCATTTCGATATTGATTCTTGTGGTGAGACCATAATTTATGCACGATCTTTGGATGACGCGATTGATATTGAGTGTTCACACAGTAATCAGGACCAAATGAGGGTTATAAACCTGTGTGAGGATTTAGAATTACGAATAACAGTTGTTGGTTAAAGTTAGGAATTAGATTTAAGATTTTTATCGCGAACAGACATCAGCTATAATGCCAAACCTCTATTTATCCAAATAGATGAGTGAATTTCGCTCCAAAATCCAAGACCTATTATGGTCGACGTGATTGGTTCGTCCGTAAATTATAGTCTCGCCGTTCAACACTTTTTTTGTAATTTCTCAATATCAACTTAATTTTTATAATTAGATTCATGGTATTTTAGTAAATATTAGATTACTGAATCAGAATGTTTCTAATGTATTCTCCGTTTTCATTGTATTTTTCAAACTTATTGGACATATGTCTATTGTAAATGACTTTTTCCAGTCATAATATACAAATAAATTATACGAAACACAGCGTAAAGTTGGCACATTAAATTCTCTCTCTCTCTCTCTCTCTCTCTCTATATATATATATATATATATATATATATATATATATATGGGAATACTGATTATAATTCCTTCACTTGATTCATAAATTATTACTGCACTATACCTCAGTCTTCTTTTTCATTAGGTATTAGTTTTATTTATTCATAAATATAAATTTTAATTTGGAAATTTCAATTACTGCTTTCCTACAACTACCTTATTGTTTGATTTTAAGTTGAATTTCATTATAAATAATCATTAAATGATGGTGTATTAGAAGTAGAAAATGCTTCAGTTTTCTTCAGTGGTGCTTATTATTGATCGAACACCGGAATTTGTGATCTCATGATTAGTCTGTTGCTTTCCGATCAGTAAATGCAATCAGTTTATCTAAATTTTTGACTGAGTTTGTGATAAATTGTCACCTTAATTAAATATCTTTATTAATGCTTGTCTCAATCTCAGCACTGCTAAACACATCACATTAACAGATGGAATTTGCAGCGAGACTATAATTTATGGACGAACCAATCAATTTTAGGATAACAGGTCTTGGATTTTGGTACAAAATTCATTCACTCATTCGGTTAAATAACATCTTGGCATTTTAGCTGATGTCAGTTCGTGATGAAAAACCGTAAATCTAATTCCTAACCCTAACCATCAACTGCAAATCGTAATTATTATTCTTCAAACTGCTTTATAACCCCCATTTAGCCCTAGTGAATAGGTAGAAACTCTCAAAGTCACTTTGGCGTCGCTCAAAAGTCATCCATAAATTATAATCTCACTGAATTCTTCTGAGTTGTTTCTTAAAAAAAGTAAACGCAAATATTAATCCTGACCTGCTAAAATTCAGAAAAATATACAGAATGTTATGACTTAATTACTTTTTGTTACGTTTATTATAAGACCTAATGGTAATATTGATTCATAGTTGTCAAACGATGTTGATCAATCTCAGTCCGGAAGATCAATCCGAGGATGCAGGGATCTTTGAAAATGAATTATACAATCTTATTTACGATTTATATTTTTCAGATGTTTATAGACATTATTAAAATGATTATTGCTGAAAAATTCCCATTATATTAAAAACAGAATTGTATGTACGAAGAATATTCTTTTCAATAATTTCTCATCAGGTTCTACAATTATAAATCCAGATTAATGATCCATAAAATTGGCCAGATTTAAGGCATAATACATCATCGTTTGGAAATTGTAATATGTAAATCAGGAATTGTTTGTTATATAAAATAAAATCGTTAATGTTGGGACGACTAATATGAAGTGTTAACTTGAATCAGTTTATAAGTGAAATGAAATTGTGCGATCACAATTGATTGATCACTGGGTGGTGATCAATCTCATGCTTGTCTAGTCCTTATTAGTGCAGATCGAATGCTATCGATCATGTTGCAATGTGGCCACCAGTCTAGGTGACTCGACACTGCGGGCACTATGTATTGAGATTAGATGGTGGTTGGAGGTAGTCAACAGGAAATCCTGGACCCGGGTTTCGTGCTACTTGGCACTCGTCAGCAAGGTGTACCTGTAATCTTGAGGGAACTGGTGCTCCCTGGCGGATTCGATCTCGTGTCACCCAGCTTCACAGTCGAGTCACCTAGACTGGTGGCCACATTGCAACATGATCGATATCATTCGATCTGCACTAATAAGGACTAGACAAGCATGAGATTGATCACCACCCAGTGATCAATCAATTGTGATTACATCTCAGTCCTACAGGAGGTTAGTCACGGCTCGGATAGCTCAGTGGTAACGTCTCTGACTATGAAGCTGGGTGACACGAGATCGAATCCGCCAGGGAGCACCAGTTCCCTCAAGATTACAGGTACACCTTGCTGACGAGTGCCAAGTAGCACGAAACCCGGGTCCAGGATTTCCTGTTGACTACCTCCAACCACCATCTAATCTGAAATTGTGCGATAAATTATCAGAATAAATATGGTCAACATGGGGTAAGAGAGAGAGAGAGAGAGAGAATATTGTGATTACAAATAGGAAATTGCGTAATATATAAAATAATTAGGTCAAATATAGTAGATTCAGAGGTGGATATTGAATAAATTCCTCAAAAAGGGTTATCAAGTGTAAAGACAATAATAATAATAATAAGTTTGGGACATAAAATGAACATTAATCAGATTACGTCACCACATTTTAAGATTGATTATTAGCTAGTTGGCCAGGGTAAAAGGAGTGGCTGAATATACTTGCCAATTTTATGGATTATTAATCTGGATTTATAATTGTAGAACCTGATGAGAAATTATTGAAAAAAAAATTATTACCAGACATTATTTTATCATCATAGGAGGTTGTTGTGTTTCATCGCGATCACCAACTGATCAAAGTTAGACAACCGTTGAAACCCCGGAAGCACTGGACGGTTGTCTCGTCTCAGAGCGAGACTACTCAGCAACGTTCGCCTACAACCAGGCAACCGGGAATAAAACAGGACACCTTTAATCTTGCACCCGAATCCTTAACCTTCAGATCACTGGACTTGGATCAACTGATGTAGTTGTTTAAATGCAATCAATTCACGATATGGAACAACTGTCTTTGATTGTCTGTTTTTTAGTCTTCGCATGTACATCGGTTTTTTAACCTTTTATTCACTAAATATTGATAGGTTTTGGTTAGCTTTCAATCAGATACAAACTATTCATCATAGTGTATTAAATTCAGTGCAAAGATCCAATAGCCACTATTTTAAATCCAATTAATTCATTAGTAAGATGTATAAGAAAGACATTTCGTGCAGTCTTCTTAAGTGGTATGTGAGAATCAATATAAGAAAATTAACTCACTCTATGCACGAGTACTGATTGACTCATTTCATTGATCAGTTAGTATGATCAGTTTCCAGAAAAGCATAATGAATCGCCCTTCATCTTGACTACCTCGAGTAAGAACACTGACGGACAGTTTCCTATGCACCTGGTTAAATGAAAACTTCCAACCCCACCTGAGCATATCTAATGAAAGTAGAAGCTATATCTATGGTACACATAATTGGTGACCTGTGCCTTCAAAATATTACCAGTGTATAGTAAATCCATATATTGTGTAATGCTTACAAATAAGTGGTATTTGTATTAATGAGACGATAAATCATCATTTTAGGTGAATGGGTTAAATGTTGAAAACGCTTAACCAGTGCTGACTGGATAAGTAGATTGGGCAAAGCTAAGTTCACTGGTCTATATGGTCAATAACAGCTAGACTGCATGTTATGGAGGACAGTAGGCTTCCTGTTTGTGCGCTGTACAAAAATTGAAGTCTGTGTTACCGGATGTCTGGTAAACTTACAGAAAACCATTGGTAATATCTCAGTTGCATTTATTTTTGTTATCCTTGTCTTACTCTTCAACTAAGTTATATCGGTTACTTTTCCTTCTTCAATTTCATTTATTTTTCTAAAGCCATATTTCTTATGTATACCGAGTCAGGTTTTACCTCGTCTATAAATTTCTGAAGGGCAAACGTTGGATCCAAGCCAAATCAATGTACTTCTATCAATTTCGTTAATCTCGTAGAGCAAGTTTTACTGACCGCACAAACTAATCTGTTTCTAAACGCATCTATCTGTGTGTTGATTGGACTATACAAGTCAGTAAATACTTCAGTCCTGAAACACCTCGTCAATTCTGGTCACTCTGTCTCATGAGAATCCCCTTTTAAAATCATCTATACAGTCACCAGTACTAGTTCAGGACTTCAAATTAAAAAGTTACATTTAATAAAGGATCTAACGCTCCACCAATTTAAGCCTAATGTTAAATTTTAAATTTCTCATTTCACCATGGTTTTAATTCTCATTTCTATCTTTCATTTTCAATTACCTGATATTTTTTATGCTTTTCTAGTTTTTTACAGTTATTACTTATCTATTATCGAGCAAACAATTATCACTCATGTACAGACTAGCATTAATTTATTAGCCACTGACTCATTACAAAACTTCATTGAAGTGTTCAATTTTCTTTGGAACAATTTCTGATGCAATACAACAATACAATTTCTGCTTATAATGCTTATGACTTAATGTCGAAGAAACCCACACAGGATGTACATATGCTAATAAGAAACTAATCAATTGCAGTCCTAAAAATCAATGGAAAGTTTCAAATAACCAATACAAAAAATGAATTAATACAACTTTAGTTTGGGCAACTTTTTTAAAATTAAGCAACAGTTTTCTGTCTAATCGGTGGCTACTACATTTACAAGTGGTAAAATGACAATTGATGGCTCTCACACACTTTCCCGTAGCATTCTTTAACGCCCTCATCAAGGGACTGGCCATCAGAAACAACATAGAAGTTTATTTTATATCTTTGACCACATCTTAAATAACTTCTCTTGTGTTTACTCTTAATTACAAAAAAAAACAACTGTTCTGCGGATTATTCCCTTTTTATGCCCATCTCCAAAAAATCTTAAATGATGACTTCATATTTAATTTCATTGGACAAAAGCTTTTGTCCAATCAGTTACAAAAAGGCACTTGTCAAAACACTGTTTCACAGAACAGAAATAATATGTTATGAATGTTAAAAAGCGTTTAAGGAATAACGAATACCCACTAAAATTTATTGAGAAAAGTGGAAAACGTGAAGGTAGAAAAAACTCAAAGAAACCACAGCAAATAATGCCACAGGGTCAATCAATATGAGACTAGAGACTGCATTGACAAGAACTTATCCTGAAGCTAAATTGATTGTTCTGTCCAAAACAACATGTTCTTTGACACAATCAAAGGTCGACAGGTATCGCTTTCATGTTACCACTAACTATATATACAAATTTACATGTATCTGCCAAAGCAGTTACATTGGTGGAACAGAAAGGAGGGCCTACGTCCAATTCAAAAAACATATTCCGATGAGTTTAAGATCGAACGGACTAAAAGCATTCAGCAGTGCCATCGCAAGACATCTCCTTGACACAGGACACGAAGTCGATGCACTGAAGTCCTTCAAGGTGATTAACAAACAATTAAACTCCAACCTTTTGAAATTTGCCTAAGCAATAGCAATCAGACGTCTAAAACCAGATCTATGTATACAAAGAGAGACGGAAATAAATTTTCCTTTTTTCTGGTAACATTACCCCCTCCCTTTTATTTATTTATTTATTCATTATGTCATTCATTATTCCAACTCTCTGAAGTTTAAAATTACATCATTCATAACTGACTGCTTTCAATTCATATCTTTCTTTATTATCAATAATCTATTTTCAGTTACTTCATTACGTAATCATCGAATGTTTTTTTTAATTTCATGAGTTCTAATCACTATTTCAATGTTCAGGAACTTTCCTTCCCAAACTTTATTTATTCGAAACAAAATCCTTTATGAGCTTATTAACTCTATCGGATTCTTCGCTACATCATGATATACATATTCATTTTTAATCACTCTCTTATGTATAAGTATATCAATATCTGTAGTAACTCTGATTTTCAAATATTTTAGGTTGTAAGCCGCTGATGAGAACCTAACGAAATAAAATGAATCCATTTATTATTCTTCAACAATCTTTGATCTTGCTCTCTTTAACGAACAATGTCACTGATATATGAAAGAGTGGGATGAAAATTTTTTTTTATACTAACACAGTTGTTAAGTGTAAATATTTAATAAAAACTATTATGTTATTCATTTCCTTGATTATTGTAATTGATTATTATGCATAACTGATTATGAATAATGACACGATCTTTTTTTTAATTTTCTTGTTTACTACTACTTGTTAAAAAAACTACTCATCAATAAGACTGTACAACATAATTCGATGAGTACGTTAAAATAAATGAAAAGAGTTTACTTTACCTAGTTATCTTTAATCTTTTTCTTTCTTTCTTTCTTTCTTCCTTTCTTTGTTTAATGGTATAATGAATTTGTTTATGTTTAGTTAAAATCATTAGTGAAAATATAGAACGAATGCAATAAGAAACAAATGAATTAGTAACTCTATATGGTTTGTCTAGATTCTTTCAATAGTCTAATGATTGTGTTGTGTTTTATTGTGTGTTTTTTTCCTCCTCTTAAAACACATAATCAAATTATAATTTAAATAATTTGAGAAATCTAAAGTATCCCTTTGAAAAATTGATACATTAATTTTAATTAAGAGATGAAAGAGAAAAAAAGAAGTAGAAGTAAAAGTAGGCAACGATGAAAGAAACGGGTAATGATAATAATAATAATAATACACAAAAATGTAATAAATATGTACATACTTTATAAAAAGAGCTCGTCATAGAAACAGTAAAAGAAAGTGAAGAATAAAAGACAACAACAAACAGGAATTGAAAATAATGTAGAAGGTGAAAGATTAATGTTATTGATAAACTGATTATGTTCTGAGATTAAACTTTTGTTTTTAAAGAATTAATAATACTTCCATGACGTATTGAACCAGCACTTAATGGACGAATTGCAGGATTATTGTTATTATTATAACTGGTGTTTAAAGTAGTTGGATTCACATTTATAATCGATGAACGTTGTATACTAGATACAGGTGTACTTCCTGAAGATGGCATAATCATAGAGGTTTTATTTCTTTGTATTAAACTAATAGAACGTTTATTAGTGCTTGGTTGAGATTTTGATGAACGATTCTTTTTTAATATTTTTGCAATATGCTTATAATAAGAAGAGAGTAAATGATAAATAAATGAAATTTATTATTTATATCTTTGTATGTATTTTTGATTATTTTCAAAATAGTGGGAAAATACGTTACTACTCTGTACAATCAAGTTAATTTAAACTAATTCATTTTCTGTGTAGCCCCGTAGTGATACTATAATTGATGAATGACCTTTGAGTGACGCTAAACTGACCTTGAGAGTGTCCACCTAGTAGAACCAAATGGGGGCTATAAACCAGTGTTAGCAATTTGAATTATGATGAACAGTTGATGGTTAAAAATAGTAATTAGATTTCGGTTTTTCACCACGAACTGACATCAGCTGTAATACCAAAACTCTATTTATCCAAATGGTTGAGTGAATTTGTCTCCGAAATCCAAGACCTATTATGTTCGACGTGATTGGTTCGTCCATAAATTATAGTCTCGTCGAATTTTCTATTCAAATCTTAGTTCTACATTATAGACTATGTTTAACTTATAATCAGTGAATTTGTCTTAGTTGAAATACTAGTTAATAATAAAATTGTGTCTTATTGGACATGTTTTTGAATAGTCAATATTGAACAATATGTTGTTACTATTTCGCATAGAAACAGATTAACAACGTTTTTGTAGAGATTAAGATCTATTATAAAGTTAGATATATGTATATTGATGTTCTGACGTCAGTTTCTTCTAATACCTAACCTGAATATTGTTTTTGAAGTTAATTTTTAAAATGAACTAATATCATCTAGAGAAAAGCCGAGGATCGCTAGACAGTTTTTCGTCCTTTTACGGAACTTCTCTGTACTAAATATCCATAATCTAATTCTGGAACAATTTATTCTCATGGAGAGCACCAAACCTTAAGACTAACAAGGTGGAATGCTCATTATTCTCCACAGTATTTAGGTCACCGAGCATCTCCTGTAGAATTTCCCAGTGACGTATTTCTCCAGTCCTCAGTGTTCATAGGATTACATTGATTAAGTTTCAATAAGATCTCCAAGTTTAGAGGTCCAAAATAACAGCTCATTTTTTATTTAAAATAAAATAGTTAATATTAGTTTTCTACTGATCATCGATTTAGGATTTGCGCAGTTGGCATACTAGAAAAAGTCTTATTTGCAGTCTCTAGGCCAAATGTAATCCTTGGAGAATTCTTTTTATTCCTCACTATAATAATTAGTGGTTCTTCTTTATTCTAGTGATTGTATCGCTACTCTATTGGTAGACTATATGTAGCGTTAAAAGTACTGAAAAACATTATTTTTCAACAGGTAACATACAGATCAAATATCTTTTTGGTGTTAATGTTCACTACCGGACTTAAACCTAATACTTTTCAATGCAGACGCGCAACACAAAATCCACTGAGATGCTGAGTCCACATGGCCATACAATGGGTTACAGATTACACTACTAGCCAAAATCTAATTTTGCTTAAATACATGTAAGCTAATGGTAAAATCAAGGCAGTCCACTCAGAATGTTTACATGCCAACAATGACTAATCAAAATTCAATCTTTACTATCGACAAATAAAAGGTTCAAACGCTCAAAAAATATGGAACAAAAAAATAGTTTCAAGCCTCTTCACTGACTACTTGCAATCACATTTCAGAAATACAGAATTTTTCGTTATTTCTTAAGGCGAGAAAAACATTATACCTTTTGCCAACTAGTTGGAAATGCATTCAGTAGACAAGCAATAGTAATCAGAATTAAACTTGAAATTTGTACTGAAGACATAATCAATATTCGTTTCATCCAAAATAATTCATAAACTGGAAAAGAAAGAGGATATAAAGCATAAATTAATTCAGTAATATAGATTCACGAATCATTTTAATGGAGCAAATAATCAATCAGATTGAAAGAATATTCAAAGATAGATGGTTATGACTCACAAATGTAGTAAATCTGGCAAATACAGACAATATTAAGACGTTTACTCAGGATGTAAAGATGTCATCTGAAGCTAATCAAAACTCAATCCTGAATATTAATATGGAAATATAAATCATAAAGACTAATAAATATCACACCCATCTGACAAGTTAGTGACTGTTTGTACTCACCGTTTGAAGCGAGGCATACAATATTCATGTTTTAATGTGAACAAAAATACTAGGCTGCTGATACATCTATATGGTGTTTCAACAAGGATTCAAAGCATATTCTGAATCCAGTTATTGGGCAAGATAATAAAAACATGTTTATCTATGTTTTTGATATACTTTGATAACAATTTTTAATTTAGTTGACTGACAGAATACCTTAAGTATGTAGATAGTCACCCAAACAAATAGCTAAGTGAAAACTGAACATATATTTGTGTAGAATAAATAACTTCAAACAACTGAGTGGATATTTA